GCTAAATATCTGTACAACAGTAAAGAAGAAAGAATACGTATTTCATCATTGTGACTGTTATAAATGTGTCATACATTTTGTACAAAGGGCCTGTGGTCTGTATAGTACTGAATAAAGAATTCAACCCACAAATTCAAATATATTGCATGATCGTGCTTTATAACCCATATCCCGTAACTCTTACGTGCGCTTTACATATGATTATAGCTAAAATGGATAGAATTATCAGTAAACCGCCCGCATGTTATCAAGAATCAGCGGGCCACTGTAACTTGATAATGCCCTCATATGGCTTGACGACGGGCCATTATCACGTCCGTTGTTGGGTGACGTCATAGGGTAGGCATAGGTGACGTCACGTTAAATAGTGACGTCATCTGGTTTGTTCTATGACGTTTCCATATTTGTAATAGTGGGTCAGTGACATTTGTGTTGATTGCAGTAAATGTTTCAAAACCGATATTGTTGTTTCTTTTTATTTGATACAAAATTCCATCCATTTTAGCTATAATGACGGTAACGCTATTCTTCAGGGCATTATCATTTGCAGAAGCCCTCGGTCTTTTCAACTGCCCTCCTTCGTCGGGCAGTTAATGGAAGACCTCGGCCTTCTGCAAATGATAATGCCCTGAAAAATAGCGTTACCCTTATATTATAATGAATTTTTGTATGCAATCAATGTATGTGTGGTGAGACTGGAATGCCTGCCTGCCTGCCGAACTCCTACGCTCTTGAAGATTTTTATAATATAAACTTACTCGAAAGATATGGTGAATTCATATCATATGGTAATATATATAGAATGTTTATCTAATTCAATCAATTATCAGTATCGTTTTTCTATTGATATACCTCTATTAAGAATCTTGCAATTTCATTGGTTAATCCGTACCACGTGACTACCTTCAATGTCGACGGACAATGACCTCAAATATTGACTCGTCGCATGATCAGTATTGACAAGCAACGTGATGAATATCGACTCGTCTGCGAGAAAACAAGATGGCTTCTGGTACTAACATTTCACAGTTCGCAGCTAGGTTACTGTTATGAAACAGAGGACGGTTAAAAACCTTCGATATAACAAAACGGACCCGTGAAGATCCGGGGTAGAATGGATCTTCAGCAGCCCATGCTTGCCGTAAAAGGTTACTATGCTTGTTGTAAGAGGCGACTAATTTGATAGGGTGGCCAGACTCGCTGACTTGGTTGATGCATATCATTGTATCCCATTTGCGTGGATCGATGCTCATGATGTCAATAACTAGATTGTCTGTCCCAGACTCGATTATTTACAGACCGCCGTCATATAGCTGGAATATTGCTGAGTGCGGCGTTAAACAACAAACAACAACAATAATATCACAAAACGAATGATTGCTCTTGACGAGGTCAACATGTGAAAACAAGGACCCTCAGACCCGACCCCTGAGGTGGTCAGACCGGATTTATATATTGTACATAATTGGATTATTGCTGACTGCGGCGTAAACAAAGCACGAGGGATGGTTGTCTTATAATAATTCCAACCACCGACACATATGTTATAATTTATCAGCTGAATATTTTGTTTCCTATCCTACGCATACGGTTGAAGTGAACAGTGTGGTCAACTGATATTGTCAGTTTTGTTTGTTTGTACTTGAATACTGATAAATAGCACCCGATGAAATAGAATCGATTGAGTGAGTGAGTTAGGTTTAACGCAGCTTTGAACAGTATTAGAGTTATATCGCGGCATGTCAACAACCTAAGTGATGCAGGTCTCAGAATGTTTACCACTTTAGTGAAACCTACGTATGATGCTGACAAACCTAGAAACAATTGTGGCGAAAAGGGATACAAATCCACAATCATAGGTTTGCAGAGCTAATTGCGACACTTCAGACGACTGGGCCCCCAGTGACCCCAGTTAAATGGAGATTTACATGTAGACGTATGGCTGGGAGCACATAAAACCAGTATACACCTGGTTTATAAATAGGTGACCTGTATATGATATTCTTCATATGTGCCCCGCCTAATTCATAATAGTGAATCGGTGACAGTAACATGAATGAACGTTCTGGGCGTAATATTTACTCCTAGCATATTTTGTATGAATACGCTACAATAATAGAGGGGGAAAGACTTGGTATTGCGGTATAGAAAAAGCGAGATGCTGTATGCCATCATATAATTAAAAAGAAATGATAATATTTTCAAACTCTGTATGAACTTCTTAACATCATGATCAAATATAACACAATAATGTTATAAAGCCCACGTTCAACTGTAAACATTGGCCAGGTTATTTAAGCAAATCAAACATTGTCTTATTGAGGGAGTTCACTTCGGCGTTTGACCTAGTTAGGTTCACCAAAGAAGATGTCTATTTCATGTGCATTGCATTTGGGTGGAGTGTGTTTATTAAGCCGAAATATTTTTAAGAGAACGTCGCCACAAACAGACACGCTGAATATACTTCTAATACTGCTCCTGCTGGAATATGCTGGGACCTGGGGTGGTTGAAAGGTACAATAAGACGAACCGATACTTTCAGAAATTATGGATAATTGTAAACACCTGCTGCACTCTAACGGTGAATGTGCGATTAATTGTACTTGGATGTATCAGGCTTCTTGTTTAACCAGGCCAACTCCTACATCAGGGATGGGGCTGCTGATGTTGAATCAATAAGACGTACACTAGGAACCGGTTCTCTGCTGTGTGGCATCAGTCACCATTTGGTCATCAGGGTGTGTGCAGTAAACACAACTAGTCTAATTGCCAGGTCGGAACTTTGAAATAAATATATTTCTTCTAAACTGATATAAAAAAACACCTGCTTTCCTAATTCGAATAAAAAATCATTGTTTCTTTTCTAAATATGCGTGGCGGCCATGATGTTGAAATGGGGTTTAACGCCGCGTTCAAGATTATTGCAGTTATATTGAGATTGTGTGTAGTTGCTTGTACTAGTCCGGCTAATTCCCGTTTGATAGTGCTAGACTACTGAGATAACATACCCCACTCAGACACAGTATACTGACTCCGAGCCGACCAGACCTTGTTTTAGCCCTTTAATGCCGAGCGCCAGACAGGGTAACAACAAATACTTTCTTTTAACGCTTTTTGGTATGACGCGGCCGGTGATCAAACCCCCGGCCTTCTGCTCTCTGGACAGAAGCTCTATCTACTATACTATGAAGGTAGCCTCATGAATATTAACAAGGACTAATTATGATAATTAATATGACCTACTCTGGAAATCACTGATAAATTAATAATATTTACAAAATTCACTTGATTATACAGTAAGTCAATGGTTTCACACAGGAACGTCATGTCGTGTAACACTTCTTATATAATGTGTCAAACAAAATCAAAATATTTGTCAAATCAAAATGAAATGTTTATCCCTTGGTGTTAACACGTAGGTCGCTGACGAACATTACATTACGTTATATCGCCAGTGATTTTCGCTAACACATGGTATCATGAATATGGGCTGGTGATTCGTAAGCACATGCTCATGGGGCGATTATTCCAGCAAACTAGTGACTCTATGGTAGCCCAGTGGTTAAAGTGTTAGCCCGTCACACCGAAGGCCCGCGTTCGATTCCCAGCATGGATAGGTGAAGCCCATTTTTAGTGTTTCCTTTCATTAGATTGCTGGAATATTGCAAGAATCTTAGCGGTACACTCACTCACTCACTCACTCACTCACTCACTCACTGGCATAGTATTCAAACGCGATATCGGCTGTTTCTTCTGTGAGTAAAAACGCCGATTATTCCTAAAATAACATTACGTCATAAAGAGATTAACAGACGCGTATGCCGGATCGTAAATGGAATATATCAGGATAGGCTCCCTGTAGACAACTTTTCCATATATTTTGATATTTCGAAGCGGAAACATAGCCGGCCGGCTGATAATCTCTGTTTCGCCTCAATAGCCTACCTAAAACGTCACGTCAGATGAAGACGTCATTCCATGCCATTGTGTCCTTGACAATTCTAGGATGTCCAAATACAATTAACTACAGCTTTGTTGTTTTGAAGTGAAAATAGCATTTTCGCTATGAACAGAATGATCATCTTTTCGCAAACACCTGCGATCATCACCATGTGGTAGTGACTCATAAACACATGGTTTAGGTGAGGTGAGGTGAAATGGGGTTTAACGTCGCGTTCAAGATTATTGCACTTATATAGCGACGTGCATGTACGTATGTGTGTTTGTGTGTACTAGTCTGGACTGATGCCGATTTATAGTGCCAGCTCACTGAGATACCATGCTGCAGTTTAACATGAATACCCCACTCAGACACAGTATACTGACTCCGAGCCGACCAGTCATTGTTTTAGCCCCTTAATGCCGAGCGCCAGACAGGATAATAACAAGTACCATCTTTTAACGTCTTTTGGTATGACGCAGACGGGGATCGAACCCCGAACCTTCCGCTCTCCGGGCGGACGCTCTACCACTAGACCACGGAGGCGGTCAAACACATGGTTATGATATAGTCAGAATCGTACAATCGACTCTGCTTTTGGCAGAGATTTCTTATGATTATTGAAAGGGTTCGCTGCTTTTATTTCCAATTGATAAACAGACTTCCAATAATCCATGTACAATACATATGTCGACACTAGCTGAAGGATGTGATTCAAATCCTGACCTCGTTTCGCGATTTCAAATGAAAGATACATTCCATCGCTTATAGTAAAACATTTAATTCTAATCCACAACCGACTATATCACATTTATCTATGTTTCCAGACAAACATCGAGCTATTTGACCACAGTACCATACGGTCTCTATCGGAACATAAGATTACATCGTCTTCATCGATAAATCGAGACAAACGAACGCGAGGTAACGACTTTCAGTGAATGTCCGAGTTAGTTTATAGTCACATAGGAAATAAACTAGAAACGTCAATAATACATCTTAAAGACGTTTTATTTATTTTAATTTACCAAATAATTAGGTTATTGTATAATTAACGTACCTCCGGATGATGGTTTTATGTCCTCCTTGCGAAACGAAAGGAAATTTCACCACTTGTTGTTAGTTAGCCCCGACAATCGTGGTTCTGTAGCGTGTTTCTCCTGGAGAGAATATTGTGTCGTTCCGTGGTTTGATGTTCTCCCGTCTAAAGAGGTGTGACACCCTGCGCTTGGTGTACTTGAAGACGCTCCCATCTACCAACAGATCGGTTCTTTATCAATTGGACGTGTTGTATCCACCCGTAAAACATATAACAGTTATTCCGTTATGAAAAGTCTTAGCGTAATTCATTGTAGGAAGTAAATATGTTTAGGATTGGCCGTGTTTGCTAATGACACGCACACACGCTATCGTCCTATTTAAAAGATTTGTATAGAGTGGGGGACGTTTTTAATAGGCCCTCTCTCAAATGATACTGATTTATTTGAACTTGTGGGTGTACTGCGGTCCGTCTCTAGCCCAGCCTCGCTCTGGTCCAGCATCGCGACACAGGTAGGAGCGGGCATATAATGAAATTAAGAACTCGCTGACGAGATGTTTAGATACAGGGCGTTGAGAGAATCCTTTGTAATGCCCAAAAGGCGACAGACGCGTGTGACAGATACACAACTGCTTCTAAACCCACCTAGGGAATCAGTGAAAAGTAGCAAATAAATGACAAACAAGCACTCGAGCTTCCTCTCTTCCCTCAGATGCAACACTAATTGTCCGTTCTGAACAAACAGTTTAGTGTATGACATAGATATCTTTGACTACCCTCCCAGATTGCGTATGACGTGATGGGATATATATGTCTGTATATCAGCGTGCGCATGACATGGTGGGATATATATATCAACATCGTGTATGCGTATGCTGGTATAATAACGTTTTTGTTCAAAAGTTCAAATATTTAGAAATTCAAATTATGTGTATCTTTGTCAAACATTCCTTTTGAGTAGATTCATTACATGCAACTGCAATATTCCATCTACGTCTCGGTGCTAGGCTCTGATGTCGCCATAACCGTTGTTTGCTATCCATCCTTCCCGCACTCCTCTCACATCAAGTGGATATAGACTTTTATTCCCGTGTTAGTTTGGACTAGATTGATGTTAATACACACCTGCAATATATATAACAATTTTTTAAGTTTTCGAAAGATGTGTATTTTTATTGTAACGATGATGTGTTTAAGAATGTGCAGAAAAATGCACGTGGAGAGCTTTTAGTAGTATTCTTTTGTGGTGAACCCGATGCGCTCTCGTCACTTTCATATGAACAGACGTGGCGAATGAAAGCTGCAAATATCAGTAAATGATAGTCTTAGGTCGTGTGTTCTAAACTGAACATATTTATTAAATATTATTTCTTTACGTAGTTGTTTGATAAAGGTTACAACGTTCAAGGCCTCGGTAAAGTATAAAATATATGTTAGACATTTTGAGGACTTTTCTAAATTTGACGCATCAGTGACAAAAATGATGTCGGGTGCAATTCCCTATTTTGACCTTTACCATATGTTCCCGTGTTTTTGACAGTTGAACAATTGACTTGCCTTTGCATGTGTTTGTGACGGGTGCCACCGGTGGGGCAGGATACGCTCACCTTTTCGCGAACACCTGGTATTATTACTATTTGATAGTGATTCTTAAACACATGCTCATTGTATAGTCGGAATCGTAAAATCGACTCTGTTTTGGCAGATATTTCTGATGAATATAAAAAGGGGTTTGTCCCGTTATTTACAAGCTGCAAAATCTCGTCACTTTTACAGTGCAGACATTATTCAAAAATAACATATCGTTTTTAGTTTTAAAAAATCAGTTCATGCGTTATCGTGTCACTGGATTTTCTGGTCCATCGATCACTTGATTGTCTGGTTTGTTTACCATTTATATCATTTTCATTGCGATGTTACTTTTTACGCCAAATGGAGTCTGTTACGTCGGATAATCGAGACTGATTATTCTCTGGTTTTAACGGGGTTTTTCATATGTTTCGACTTTTACACACGTATGTGGTGTTCGTATTGATATGCTATAGAAATATACAATGGTGAGATGAATGCATCAATCAAGGTGTAGTTCAATACAAAACCCATGTCTGTATCAACTATTGGAGAAAGTCACGTCAACTAAAATGACGCAGGGAATGAACTAAAACTTATTATCGCATTATTACCTATGACATTTGTTTTGGCCCCGCGGTGACGTCATCTTATCCGTCATGACGTCATGTCCTTCTCATGAGGATTATCCAAAGCAGGACTATTTTTGTAAAAATGTCACTTTAATATAAAGAAAATAATCATAACCTTTTGCGACTGTTCATATTGTTCATTGTTCATATAACATAGGCATCGCATCACAGATGCGGTGTGATGACTATAATGATACGTGTGAGAATACTTGAAATTTATGTTTACATTTTTTAACTAATTTCTTTTTTGTAATTGAAAATTGAAAAGAACCGGTGTTAAATATAATATTGTCGACGTCTACTTAACCATCTTCCGTTCCTGCAACAGTTTCTTAAAAGTGGCTGTGTAATTTTGTGTAAAAGGAAATTGGTTCAATGACGACTAGGGTAAGAAATAAACCTGCAAGCACATGACACTTACCATGTCGGAATCTTGTGTGTGTAAAAAATCAAATGTATTGATATTCAAAAAAAATTTAAGTCAACTTTATTTTTTAAAAAATAAAATCATGTACATGTAGAAGTATTTTTTGAGTGCTTACTAAGGACAGGTTCACACAGTGCCGATTATGGCTCCCGTTTGAGATCAGACAGTGCTACGACACGAAGGGTGAAAAAGTCGGATTACTATCCTCAATTATCTGGAATGTCCTATCATTGTCTGAAAGCAGTCGTATACGTTCGTAACAGAGTTCTACGGATCGGGAAAGGTTCAGAGAGGTCGGCCAAGCACTCCCGATAGTATGGTGCGTCCCGTAACATTCGGGAAACTCAGCCGATTTTGTCTAGTCGGATTACAATCGTGACTATGTCGTGACAGATTCTGTTGTATCGGATCAAAGTCGTAACACTGTCCCGTGTTGTCAGGGCGGTGTCCTGTGGATCGGGACGCTGTCGTGATGAACGGGCATGAATTGTTCATTGCCGTTTCTTGTCGATTGAGTCCATATTGCGTCAAGATCTTGCCAAATGCGAACCGTCTTTGTCGGTTCACTGTCCGGTCACTGTCTAATCTCTGTCGGGTCGCATTCGGGAGAATCGGGACGCTGTCGGGACAGATTCGGTCGTATTTTACCATGCGGAAAATACAAATCGGATAAGATTCGGATTGAGAAAAGGAGAATCGGGACGAATTCAGCTGGAAACGGCTGAATCGGGACGCTTCATGAACAATGTTTATGAATTTCGCGCCACGAATCACAGTATCTTGATCAGAATTTTGACAAATTTTAAACGGGAATGGTCCTTTCAAGGACGGCAGTAAAAATCCCGAACTGAGCCCTAAGCGTCAGTACAGTTCATATATAGTTGTATATAATACCACTAACTTAAGATATGTTCAACTGAAAATCAGATGAGAGGAAGAGTTTCCGCTGCCCCTAAGTGTATATCTATAATAATCCCTATATAAACAGAAGTTCGCAGTTTCTTCCACTCCCTGTGGCTTATGCTGGGAGATGAATCCTCTTAGTGTTCCGGTACAGTTCACACATATCCCACACACATCCATAGTGTGTCCGTTGACACTGCCACAATGTGAGGCTATGTAAATATACGTGTAAGTACGTAGTCAGGGACCGGGAGAGAGGGTCTGTTTACACGGAGATATAGTTCACACTCTCCTGTATACGTTGGATATACTATAAAGCTGTAACTCTTCTGTCTGGTATACGACATCGTGTAACCTCTCTTAAAGCGTGCAAGGCATACTGTCAACTCTCCGGTAGTATATACAATATAGTGTTAATTACCCTGAAGGATACAGTGTTAATTCTCCTGGACGATATAAGATGTAGTATGATATACGATATAGTGTTAATTTCCCTGAAGAATATTGGATATAGTGTTTATTCTCCTGAAGAATATTGGATATAGTGTTTATTCTCCTGGACGATATAAGATGAAGTATGATATACGATATAGTGTTAATTTCCCTGAAGAATATTAAATATAGTGTTAATTCTCCTGGACGATATAAGACGTAGTATGAGATACGATATAGTGTTAATTTCCCTGAAGAATATTAGATATAGTGTTTATTCTCCTGGACGATATAAGATGTAGTATGATATACGATATTGTGTTAACTTTCTTATATATTATACACGATATAGTGTTAACTATCCTAAAGGGGTATGTGATGTAAGGTTAACTCTCCTGTATAATACGATATATTAACTATCCTGAAGGATAAACGATTTAATGTTAACTCTCCTGTAGGATATATGATATTGTGTTAACTCTCCTGCGGGATATTCGACACGTTGTTAACTGTCCGATTGTATATGTATACAAAAGTACAAGCTTGAGTTTCAGTAAATGCTGAGTACACTGAATTGTTTTTCTGCAGCTATGGATTAAGACCGGGATGTCAGATGTCGCAATCTTGTTTTTCATTTTTCATAAATTATATTGTCAATGCTTTGGGTCCTGACAGAGAAAGATGTGTGGATATGTGTTGGAACTCAAGATGTCCTATTATTTGCAGGTGGTATTTATTTGTTCGATTATACAGTTTCCTGTTTACAAACACCTCTGGGTAGATCGGATATTACTGTAGTGAATGGAAATTAAAAATCAATATTGATAAGAGTAAAATTATATTCATACAAAATAAATGGTGCTCCATTGAGTGAAAATAAGACATTTCGTTTAAATACCAGTATTTTGAAATTCTCCCAAACTATAAATGTCTAGGTGTCCATTCCACATCTTCAAAATCATCAACATCTTCAAAAATACTTTGCCACAACACGTTTCGAAAGTCATTCAAATATTACTATCTTTAAACAAATTAATATAACTGTATGTCATATTTGTAAAATTTATGTTTTGTACATTCTGTTGTATGGTACTGAGGTCTGGGGCTTCCACCATATTTAGATATTGATAATATACATGTTGTAAGTAAATATATATTATGACTCCTAATCCGGATGGAAGAAGGAAGGTTGGAAGTTTTAAATCAGCGTATTCTGTATATAAGTGTAATGGAGGACAAGCTAGGACTGGTTGGGAGG